GACAGGATCGTCGGCATGTTTTAAGGATGAAACTGAGGAATGTTTGACACAGCATGTGTTTCTCAATGGGAGGGGACATAGTATGGGAACAAAGTTGCAACTCGCTGCTCACATCACACGCCTTATTTTTACAAGATGCCAATCATCTCTCTGAATATATAATTTAGTGGCCTGCAAAGAAAAGAGAAGAAAGAAGAGAGCGAGAACCCCGTGAAACAAGCATGTCAAAAGGTGAGCAGATTTTGATTTTAATGTGAGATTATGTGTTTCCTGCAATAAAAGCTGAGAGTATTATGCATCTGTGCCGGGCTCTTGGCTATAAATTCACTTATTACCCTGATTTAAGGCAAACTACAAGTGGTTGATGATATAGTGTCTTCTGGCCCAAAGGGGGACTGTATATCTTAGAAGCTATCAAGCAGACAATTATTAAGCTGTCATTATGATGCAGCATATAGTGTGTATCATATCTCAAATGTGAGCTTGTGCGCGGGTGTGTGATATGCACATGTTTGTATCTCAGAGGGAGACAGAGCGTCCGTGCTGCGTACCACCAAAGTCCGGACAAGGCTGAGGGGAGACGCCAGCTGGTTGCAACGCAGCAATGACTCTAAGGATGAAACGCAGGAGGAGAAACCATGGTAAACACCCCTGTTTAAGCACGATACCCATCATCCCGTTATCATCTACTCTGTCACAAAGGAAATAAATAAAAATAAGATAAAACCAAATTCCATTGCAGGATAGCAGAAGTTAAAGCCAGCCGTCTGAGCGGAGCCCCTGCTGATACCAGTCCAGTGTCTTCGCCAACAAATTCTACTCCGCCACCAACCAAGTCTGACACCGAGAGGTAAACCCAGGTTTTTAATGTCACAGGCTTATCTGCAGTTCTTTGAAACATGCCTGTGCTGATAACAAGTCTCTGTTTTGAGTTTAGGCAGCCAACATCCGGATACCTTATCAGGTAAGAGAAAGGCTTCTGATATTCTGAGCACCACCATCTGGGTTATAAAACACGTTTACCACAAAGCATATAAAAACATATATATTTATAAAACAGAGATTTTAGTCAGCCAAAGTGGAGTCTCAGTCACCATCACAGTGAACACTTAAAAATAAACAAACAAAACACACACACACAAACTGTATAAAGAAATAAGGGCTTGTTCAGGACTTTTTCTTTTTCTTCAGGGGTGTTTTCACTAAAGTGGACAAGCCTCCATCCTCACCATCTAACGGCTTTAGGTAAGAGCAGCTAAACCACACAGCATTGACAAGCAGTTTGACCTTTCCTCTATTACTTATTATCTGGTTTTATTGCAGCAAAACACTGCAATTCAACAAAAAGCCTTCAGAGACCTACAAGAAAATGTGAGCAAACGTAAATTCAGAGTCCCAGTTTAACTGCTGGCAGCTGGATGAGAGTCTTTTCACAAGGTGCATGTTTGTGCTTCTGTTCCTCAGAGCCCCCCACACTGTGCGGTCTGCTGCAGAGAAACAGGAGGGCCAGCTTAGCCTCGAGGAGCAGGAGAAGCGGTAAGACTCTCCTTGCATCCTGAAGTTAGACACCCGGGAAAGAGATTACATTAACATTATTCTGATTCATTCTGCAGGACGGAGAAAGCCAGTAATGTTCTGAGGAAATCTGCAACCAGGCAACGGTCTTACGTGCTTTCAGCTGCAAAGAAATACGAGTACGTATTTTCTCATGCCACTATTCTAATGCTTATCTTGAGATGCAGCATGTTTCTGTAATGCTTTCATAAAAGAACAGTGCAAATGTTTAAAACTTCCCATGCAGTGGGAAATTATTTTTATTGACGTGCCTTGCTGAGCACTTACGGAGGCATTCACACAGGCTTTGTGTTCAAAACTCTAAGGTCTCAAGAAACGCCCGACACATCGCTCAGCAATAGCAGTCCAGCATTTGTGGCTACAAGGTAAGCCCTTTTTCCTAGAGGCAAAAAGAAAAAATATGTGAAATATGTGCTCTACACTTGCATGCATTTCTACTTGTGCCATCATGTGGTTGACTAAAAATCTGCAGGGTGGAGATTACTGATGATGATGAGCCTTCTGAGACTCCTGCACCTGCCAGCGCTGTGCTGCCATCCCCTGTTGTTCCTGTCACATCTGTTGCATCCAAGCCTGCGCCCGAACCTCAGAAAATGTAAATCCTGCACCATGTTTCTATTTCCAGTGCAACAAGTGATTTGAGTTTGATTCATTATCTCTGTGGTTTACAGTGCTGACACCAGCACTAAGACAGCTGCTGCTGTGAGTGTTAATGAGCCGGTTGCTCCAAAGTTGGAGAAGAAGGCCACCCCAGAGCCTGCAAAAGAAGAGACCCCTCAAGTGTCTGTTACAAAAGAACAGCCAACTTTTGACACCAAGGTGGCTGCTCCCCTCCCTGATTGTCCTCAAGTAGCCTCTAAAGAGCCACAACCCAAAGAGTCTGGCCAAACTAAAACGCCTCTGGTTGATCTTTCACCACCATCGATGTCCCCAATATCATCTAATCAAAAGTCCCCTGAGTCGACCACTGCAGTGTCTCCTGTCCCGACCTCCACTGTCACCAAGTCACCTGCACCTGTGTCCCC